AATTACCTGGAGGAGTCGAATTGGATGGTTCTAGACTATTTCGTAATCGAATGTATTCTCAACATGGAGTCATTCTTCCAGTTCAACGAGAGAAACATTCTGCAGAAGGTCGAAATCGACATGATACACTTCGTGCTTATGTAATTAATAATAAACGCTTCACCAAAACCGACAGAAAAGAAATAAATGCTGCGATAGATGAAATTAACAATTACACTATTGCACATCAAAACGAAAACATAAGTACTATCAACAAATTAGATTGGCCACTTGTCAAGGTCTCATATATAGATTACGGTTCAATCAAAGGTCAAAAAAAGAAATCATCTCGATTCAATGCAACCCCAATAGATGCTAGACTACCAACGTATGAATTGATAGAAACTTATTTTACGGCTCACTTACGATTATTGCGAACTATGGATATTCATATTATAGGACCTGGTACAGGTGCAATGTATCAAACATTTTTATCGGATGGATCAGTCGTTATTAATGTCGGTGGTTTAATACCATTGAGATCAGAAGATCAAAATATAACGTATACAGGATATATGGAACAGTACATGGCATCTGGTGCACCCTATCTCAAAGCTCTCTATTATCCGATTAATGAAAGGCCAAAAGGAATAAAAAGAGAAGAATTAGTAAAACTCATTCGAAAAGCAGCCAAACTTATCATGAATGGCTTTTCTATACCAGTAAATCCAATAGAAAACTTGGCACCAGATGGACAATTATTTATTGAAATGTGTGAAAGAGATAAAAAATTTTGCGAACTTGTTACAGCAAGAGCACCAGGTACTGATTTTGGTTGTTATCATTTTTGGGTAGAAGAACTTATTCACGAACGTGGACCTTGGAGAGAACAAGTGGGTACTCATGGTATTAGAAAAACTCGATGTTCATACAATCTTACATTGATGCGTGAATTGAGAGACAAATATGGTATTCGCCATTATGAAATAAGTGTTAATCAATCGAAAATCTCTGGTTAAGATATAGAAAAAGCAATACTTCAAGACACGCATTGCGCTAGCATCATAATGAATATAAAAAGCCATAGGATTATTTTTCACACTTTACTAACCAAAAACTTTGAATCGATTTCTAAACGTATCAATTATTGTGCTGATACTACCTGATTTAAACGTCTCATAACGGTTGAGGGTATGAGTGTGGCTTTGGATGTCGATGTCGATGTAGGTGTATGGCGTGAGTGCGATAGGTGTGAATCTGGATCTAAATCATGGTGAGGTTGTGGAATGTGATTATGAGGTGTCCAGTATACCATCATGCAGATTTCAACATTGATAAAAGGTTGTCATCAGATGACTTCCAGCGTATGGGTGAGTTTGCGCATTTATAGGGATGTGATTGCGGGTTGAGAGAAGGATACTCACATTCGCTCCCATCAACACCCATATTGACACCAGATTTTCATTCTCATAAAAAGGAAAGTGGTTATGCACACTCAGGTACACATAACCGGTCAGCTATGTACATTCAGATAGGTATAATCAATAAATATTAAGTTATCAACCTGTCCACGTAACGGTCCACCTACTTCGGCAAAGTCAGAAGAATGCGAAATTCATACTTTCATTATCTAATTTTTACGTTGTCAAAATGATGATGTGAGACGTTTTCTTAATTATTCTTTCGGAGATGTTATCAATTTGTTCATTTCGGGGAAACTACAATTAACTTTCTGAAGAAATAAACGTCGATGAAAATAGGCTGATTTTTAAAAGCGTTATTCCGTCACGACATTTTTTTCTACATGCGAGACGAAGTTATCATATATTTTGAATTGTTTTTTGTTTTTGTATGTATAGCTCGTCATCTCAGCTACAACTTTTCTATAGAAAATTTTTTAATCACACTTGCAGAAGAGCTAAAATTTTTAGTTCTTCACATGCCACTGAAACCCGGAGTCCATTTTTTGGTGTATGGCAGCCTGACTTATACATGTTTTCAAAAAATCAGCCCTATTAGACTTCAATCTGTTGATATATTTCAGAGATAAAGTGAAAAAAAACGTTATTTCGTCACGCTTGGACAGGTTGTTATGTTATAGTTCTATAGGTACTTCATTATTAATATAAATAAAATATGGTTAGGATGTAGTGCCACATCCACCTGAATGGACATAGCTACTTCCTGTAAAGTATGTCTATTCAAAAAAAAGCTAGCGAAATCTACTACAAATTGTGTGTGTGGATGTCGGTGAAGAAAAGACGCGATTCGCACCCACCCACCCACACCCACACGCACACCCACCCCACACCCACACACCCACACCCACACTCACCCACACCCACACACCCACACCCACACCCACACACCCACACCCACAAGAATAGGACACATGGAAAAAGTCCCTTCGCGAATCCCGGATGCAGTTACTTTTGAGAGTACCTGGATCGCAAGACAAGAAGTCGTAAAATCGCCTTTTCACGTGACCGATTTGAGCTATGGAAAATCTATTTATACCAGTGAATAGAGCTCATTGAGGTGTACTTCAAACAAGAATAGGAGATTTCGACGAAGCTCCTGAGCGAATTGGGGCTGGAAATACTTTTCCGAGTATCCCGACGCTAAGCAGAAAAGGACGAAAAATTGATTTTGTAGGGGACCGGTTTGAGCTATAGAAAATCTGATTATATCAATTGATAGAGCTCGTTGAGGTGTACTTGAAACAAGAATAGCAGATTTGGAAGAAGTTCTTGAGCGAATTGGGACAGGAAATACTTTTCCGGGAAATCTCGACTCTACGCAGAAAAAGTCCAAAAATCGATTTTATAGGCGATAAGTTGGATCTATGGAAAATCTGATTATACCAATCGATAGAGCTCGTCGAGGTGTACTTGAAACAAGAATAGCAGGTTTGGAGGAAGTTGGGTGTGGGTGTGGGGTGTGGGTGTCGGTGTGTGGATGTGGGGTGTGGGGTATGCGGATGGGTGTGTAGGTATGGATGTGGGTGTAGCTGTGAATGAAGAGAACACCCCACCCACACCCACACCCACATCCACCCCACATTCATAGCCACCCCCACACCCACCCACATTCACACACCCACACCCACACCCTATTCTGGTTTTAAATCGAAATGTTTATTCCAATTGGATTTAATATTCAAGAAAATAATTGTGTACCATCAACAGATCCATTTTATTTATTTATGTATTGAATTATTGATTTATTATGTACTTTATTTCCATTTTTTATCTTAATTATATTTAGTTTTCTAACATTACATAATGTGTTAAAAAGAAGAATTATTCCAAATGATGGTCATACTCTTGCCATTATTTCTGCATTTGGATATAATAATGATCAAAATAAAACATTAGTAATGAAAAGAGTATTCCAAGAAAATAATCGTCATTATATCGAAGATATACATATAAAGATTATTATTTAATTCGATTATGTTTTAGTCAAGTGATTGTTTTTGTTATATTAAATATTCCAGGTGCATTATTTAGTTTATATACATTTATAACACGAACAAATATAAAAACTATCGATCATTTAGCTATTGATTCATTTCTTAATACAATTGTAATCAATCTTGCTCATACTCATTGTGCAGTAAGTTATTGTTTTAAATTAATTAATTAAATATTTCATTATTATATTTTAGTTGACATTTTATTTATATACATTGACATCGAAAGAATTTCGAAAACAATGTTTATTAACTATTTGTTATATTCAACGACAATTTATTATTCGATTTCAATAATAAAATATTTTCGTTCTTTTATTTAATTAACATATTCGAATTATCATCTTTACTAATCTTCTATCCTATAAGCTTTTTTTTGTTGTCTCAATTATTAAATAAAAGTTTCATGAATTATTCGATTAAAATAAGCATAATAAAAAAAGTGCTTTTCAACATTTTTTTGTTCATATGAGATTGCTTAGCATTTTGACATCTAGTTTCATTCAACGAGAAATAATATCATAGATAACAAAGTTACTCTAATCAAGCATTTCCAGCGTAACGATAGCATAAAGAGATTCCACTCAAAGTAAAATACAAGTGCATTTATTTGATATAGTTCACATGAATATTGGGACGAGAAAATTTTCATAGAAAAACAATGAACATCCTAATCTCGATTATAGGAAAGATAAACTTTTGGGTGAGTGTGGGTGAAGAGAAGATCAACACCCACATCCACACCCTTGCTAAGTTTTCAGAAGAATCAACAGAAGTTTGATACAATTTTGTGACTCTTATTGCTTAGAATTTAAAAAATCGAGTAAAATTTTGAAACAATTCTATTTTCATCAACAGAAGACATATTTCCTTCTTCTAAATAAAACTTCGATTTAGAATTAAAAAAATAAAGCAGAATTTTGCCAGAATTCTATCTCTACCAGCAGAAAACGCACTACTGCACTAAAAATTCTTCCTAACCAAAATAAAATTTTGTCTAGAGTTCAAATAATCTAGCAAAATTTGGACAAAATTCAATTATGTACCACAGAATCCAAATTCAAGGTTACAAGATAATTTTTTCCCTAGTGCAACATCTTGTAACCAAGATACAAGGTACAGAAATGTTAACAGATCTTGAAAATTTAGCTACAGATATTAATATCATTATCTTACATCAAGATCTGTAATAGATCTTAAGTACAGATCTATAAGATCTTAACTGAAATATCCTTGCTCAAAAATGATTACTAAAAGTCGTTTATGGATGACTCTAAATACTACCGAGATAGTCAATCCAAAGTAAAATTTGACGCTGAATATGAATCTGAAATCAGATCGCTGCTGCAAACACAACGAGTCAAGTTAGAGACCAATGGTCAGTTAGAAAAACCGTTCATAATCGTCGTCCTCACGAACACCCTTGAATGAAGATCATGTTTTCTTAAATGATTCGGAACAATCTAGCTCCAAGCAGTAGCAAAATCATCCGTAACAGGTATTATCAAGTCAAGATCTTGGTGCAAGATGATAACGTTATTATCTTGTACCTAAATTATCAAGATCTGTTAACATTTCTGTTCCTTGTATCTTGGCCAAGAACTTGTCACAAAATATTAAGATCTTGGTACAAGATCTAAGATCTTGCTTACAAGATGTTTCACTAGGGTTATTCATACGTTTTGCTAGAAATAAATGACTCTTCTAAACAGAATTCAATTAAAAATTTAACAATATAGCTGCACTGTGGAATAGGATGCTGTTAAAATTATGGCAGAATTTGATTTCAATTCTAATCTCCGCGTTAAACAGGCAAGTCTATTATGCCTAACACTCATCACATAACAAAATTCTGCTCAGAACTGAAAAATTCCAGCAGAATTTTCATAGAATTCTATTCCCACATCGAAGATAATCAACTCCACAGTATACAGAGTGAAAGATAACATTGTTCAAGGGGAATATCTCCATAATTTAAAGTAGAAGACGTAATGAATTTTATATGAAATGAAAGCTCATTAAACATGTGATTTATTAGTAAATCTTTTAATGTAGAACTTACGAAATTTTCATAAATTTTATACTTTTTTGGCGTAGAAAATTAAGGTGCAGATATTTTTACATGATCCGATAGAGTTCATCGGGCTCTACAAAACTCTGTATATTAAAAAATCGTTAAGCCATTTTTATGCGATAAAAAATTTAAAAAACTACCTGAAAAATGATAAAAACGTTTAAAAAAATACTCATATTTTTATGTGGAAGAAAAACATTCAAATTTTCAATAAATTTACCTTTGTTTTTTATTATTTTTACTATCTCAGGCATTTGAAAATATGCTCATCCGATATAGTTTTTCATGTTGTATCGAATGACTATATTTTGAAACACCTGAGTAAACGTTTTTTTATCATTTTTCAGGTAGTTTTTTGAAATTTTTATCGCATAAAAATGACTTAAAGATTATCGATTTTTGAGTTATTTACACCTTAATTTTCTACGCCAAAAATGTATAAAATTTATGAAAATTTCTTAAGTTTCACATTAGAAGGTTTTTATAACCCTCATTATTTAGTACTAATAAATCACATGTTTAACGAGTTTTCATTTCATATAAAATTCATTATATCTTCTATTTTAAATTGTAGAAGTATTTCCCACTCTGTAGTTTTCATTACAATAATTTGTCTCAAACTTTTATTATGTATGTGCTATGATTATTATTAATATTTTGTCATTAGATAAAAAATAATGTTGTAGAAATCAAAATTCTGGCAATTTTATTTATTACTTTGTATCAACGTATTTAATTAAAAATTGTAAATTTTTAATCTTTTCTGAATAATAGATGACAAGTATTTATCTTTTTACTAAAAAGATAAATATTAAGCTTGATAGACAAATCCTTTTCTAGTATATCATCTTTTGATTTATCATTTATAAAAAAGAATGTTGAAAACATTTAGTTTCATTTTTAAACTTATCATCAATCAGAAAATAGATAACGACATAAATAAAATGACATGTTCATGTCATTAAATAATGTATATAGTATTTTTTTTTTCTTTAGATATAGTACCCAGTCAGACAAGCAACGAAAAAAACGCCGTTTTTACGCGTAAA